AACACCACAAAGTGCTGTGGATTTGAGGTCACGATACAAGGGTCTGTGCAGAGAGCTGGCATCTCAGCTGTTCCTAAATGTTTGACAACTGGATTAAAGTTTTAATTTCTTCATGCTGCCTTGAGGAAAAGCCATCGGAAATTGCCAGTCCCCCTCCTGCTGCACAGAAATGTTCCATTTAATCTCTTGTTGGGAGACAGTTTGTCTCTGGAGCCACCTTGGAGCTGCTCTGTTCCTGTTTTTTTTGCTTCCTCAGTAAAAAGGGAGAGGACGTGATGTTACAGCACTGCAAAAGGAGAAAAAGTTTCACTTGACTTACAAGGTAATGATTACAGAACTGCTTACGCCTTTACCAAGGGGTAAAAACAGGGATAACCAAGCAGCTCAGGGAATATTTGTAACTCATGAATATCTCAGGAAACAATAGACTTGTCTCATTAACTCAAGCATGGAAATAAAAAAATCACAGTCATTGCTGGCTAGTTCAATCTGTCTTGCTGTCCTAGAATACTCTTGCTTGTGGTTTTAAATAATTCCTTTTTTTTTTTGAGTGTAATGGTTGAATTACAAACAGCTGTCAGTAACATCCTGGTGTCTCTGACCCATTGCCATTTTGATTACTTCATGTTCCAGCTGCAGTGTCATCCAAAGCCCCGGAAGGAAGCCTCTAAAAAGTTTCTCTTCATTACTCTGAGCAAACTTGCCACCTGCCACACTGTGGGCCATTTTGGGGAAGAACAACACCTCTTTCATCTCTAAAGTTGATATATGTTTTGCTACATGAGTTTCCTGCTGTGTTTCGGGCATTTTGCATGACAGACTAGCTGATCTGTAATTTCACTGTTGACATTAGTGTGGGGTCAGAGGCTGCCACTGAAGGGTTTGAATGCGGTATTGGGACTGGAGCTCAGTGTTAGATAGATATGGCTTAAGACAATAGAACATGGAGAAGTGTGAGGAAGAGAGTGGATCTGGGTTGGGAGAAAAGCTTATGTCTGCCTAGCTAGGGGAAGCAAGCTACCAGGTATCTTCAACCCGGCAATCTGATGTTTGTCTGTGAGTGACACAAGAATCCGTGGAAGCTGAAGGAAGTGCTCCTCTTCAACAAATAAGGGCAGTGGGATTTGGGAATCTCAGTTAGGATAACTTGATTAGTGTCAAGACACTTGACACTTGATTAGTGTCAAGAGGATGAGGCCAGCCTCTTCTCCGTGGTGCCCAGCAACAGGACAAGAGGCAATGGGCAGAAACTGAACCACAGGCAGTTCCACCTAAACCTGAGAAAAAACTTCTTGACTGTGAGGGTGACAGAGCAGTGGCACAGGTTGCCCAGAGAGGTAGTGGAGTCCTCTTCCCTGGAGATATTCAAAACCCGCCTGGACGCGATCCTGGGCAATATGCTCTGGAGGACCCTGCTTGAGCAGGGGGGTTGGACTAGATGATCTCCAGAGGTCCCTTCCAACCTCAACCATTCTGTGATTCTGTGATAAGCCAGGCATTCCCAGGGCAAAAATAGTCCTATGAATTATACTATGATTTCTGCCATTTGACTCACTTTGGGGAATGGTAGTAACTCTCTTTTCTGTTTACTCTTCCCTTTTTCTTCTGCCAGCAAACTCAAGCCATCTCTGACCTGGGAGGAAAACTGATCTGTTTGATCGGTGCTTCCAAAGTTTAATTCTTCTTCCTCCCTTTGAGTAAATGAAGGAGGAAAGGGAGGTAGCAGCAGAGGCTCTGCAGATACAGATACCTGTAAATCCTTCTCTCCTGACCTATCTGCTAGGATCTCTATGTCATAGAGCAGCAAGGACAAGTAAACCACGAGCTAAGCATAAAAACAGGGCAGGCAGAGGCAGTTGCCTCACTTACAAGGATCCAGTCTCACAGTTCTGAGCAAGGTGAACTAAGCGGTTGTAGACAGGTTCATGCAAGAATTGTAACACCAGACAAGTCCATGGTGATGAGGCAGGCTCAAGATCAAGCCGTGAAGTTGAATCAGCAGGTCAGGATCAGGTCCTCAGAGAGTAACCAGCATCAGCCACAGTCTAGTGATCACCAGGCAAGTCTACAGTGCCAAGGCAGGTCTGAGGTAAAGCCAGGAAATCAGTCTGCAGGTCTAGGCCAGGGTCCTGATCAGAGGAGTTTGTGCCCAGGCACAGACACAACTGCAGTGTTGCTACAGTATAGTCCATGCAGGGCCAGAGCCTCAGCTTGGAAGCAGCTCCCAAGGGACAGAGGGGCAGCCCTTGCTGAGGCTTCTTGTAGCTTTCTTCACAACAGCCCTGTTCAAGGCCACGAGATGCACGAGATCTCTAAGCTGGTCCTGAGTATAGGCAGCCAAATGCCTGGTGAGGGCTAGGGTTATGCTCAGGGTCCTACCATCACACCTCAGCATACACCCAGTGTTGGAAGCCTCTGAATGAGTTTGGAGTCTCCACATAATGCCAAATCTCAGTTGTTTCCTGATTTCTGTCTCAGCACTTGGGTCCCTGGGAGCTCTCGATGAGCTAATAAAACCCTTGAGGAAGAACTGACCTCCACCTGATTTGAGGAAGTGACCCATGTGAATAGCAATTAGGAAAATGGGGAAATCTTCTCTTTTATCAACAGAAGGGTCAAAGATTTAGGGTCCCCTGCTTCAGATCACAGAATCACAGAATGGTTGAGGTTGGAAGGGACCTCTGGAGATCATCTAGTCCAACCTCCCTGCTCAAGCAGGGTCCTCCAGAGCATATTGCCCAGGATCGCGTCCAGGAGGGTTTTGAATATCTCCAGGGAAGGAGACTCCACTACCTCTCTGGGCAACCTGTGCCACTGCTCTGTCACCCTCACAGTCAAGAAGTTCTTCCTCATGTTCAGGTGGAACTTCCTGTGGTTCATTTTCTGCCCGTTCCCTTTTGTCCTGTCACTGGGCACCACGGACAAGACTCTGGCCCCATCCTCTTGACACCCCCCCTTCAGATACTTGTACACGTTGATGAGATCGCCTCTCAGTCTTCTCTTCTCCAGGCTCAACAGGCCCAGCTCCCTCAGCCTTTCTTCAGAGGAGAGAGGCTCCAGTCCCCTCATCATCTTGGTAGTCCTCCGCTGGACTCT